CTACAGGACACAGGAGAGCATAGAGACGGGGAGAAGAGGAATGAGGAGTGCCATAGTGGAACTGATGCTGCCCAGGTTTCCGGGGCCTTCGGGCCTTGAGATACACAGATGTGTGTGATCGCTTCAGGACCAGTGTCCTCTGCTGCAATCCAGAAGGGCAATAAACAGCAACCCGAAAAGCAGACCCACAGGACCAAAAGTGAGCCTTGTTCCCGTTACTCAATAAAGGAGGCTGAAGACTTGAGAAGAGAGAGCTGGAACCAGACGGAGTCAGCTGGAGGCCTTAGAAAACAATCTAGTCTGGCTCCAGAATGCCCTAGCAAAGAGAAGCCATGCTCCACAGCATCTGCCAGTGCCCGGAGGTCCTTCGGGACCAAAGAAGAGCATTCTGACCCGTGAGAGACATGGATTTGAGCCCAAAACCAGTCAACCCAGTGAATGACAGACATCAGGCTCAACTTTCTTGCTCTTGGAAGGAAAATGCAATACTCTTGTCACAGCTGCTCTTTCTCTGAAGCATCAGAGAAGCAGGAAACATTCACCTAGGTGGAGGAAAGGGGGAAAAGATAGCACTTGAATGCATTCATTTATTCATTACAAGTATGTCATGGGTCCCGCTCTGTGCCAGGCTCCTGCCATCTTGGCATTCATAGCCCAATAGGGAGGAGGCACGAACAAGCAGCTCTGAGTTCGAGAAGAGTTAGGCAGAAATGTGGCGGTTTCACTGACTGCCAGAGAAGGATTCCCAGAATTTCTGATTGAGTTGTGGCTTGAGGATGCATAGGAATGAACGGACAAAATGTTGAGAAGGCTTTCAGAAAGGGAAATCAGCATGGAGGAGGGTCTTCTGTCTCAGGGGAGAGGGTGGTACATTTGCCAAATGAAAGTAAATTACTGGGAGAGGGATTTAGCTCAGTGGTTCTGCTGCCTGCCTTGCAAGCTCAAGGACCCGAGTTTGATTCCTGGTACCAAAAAAAAAAAAAGAAGTAAATTACTATGGCTGGAGCTCAGAGAGCAGCAGAGAGTGGCTTCCAGGGAAGGCTGGAGGGTGAGGTGCAGTTATATCAGGTGGGGCTTATGGCTTAAGGTTTTGGGAATTTATCCCTAAAGATAGTAGGAGCCACTGTAGAATTCCAAATGGTGAAAGGTCACAGCCAGAGTTTTATTTAAAAAGATTAAAAGAGCTGGGTGCAGTGCCACACATCTGTGATCCCAGAACTCTGGGAAGCTGAGGCAGGAGGACAGCAAGTTCGAGCCCACCCTGGGCAACTTAGTGACTTGGCAAGAATTTGTCCCAAAATAAAATATTTTTTTAAAAGGAGTGGGGATGACCAAGATACATCATGTAAAGGTACAATATCCCAATGATGAATGTAACTGTATTGTATACCTAAAATGTACCAATAAACTTAATGAAAAAAATAAAATGAAATAAAAAAGTTAAAAGGAGTGGGGATGTAGCTTAGTGTGAAGGCTATTGGTTCAATCCCTAGTATAGTATTAAGGAAAAAAAGGTTAAAAATAAATTGGAAGGGCAAGAACAGTTATATGGCAGATAATGGTACTTTGGTCTGGAACACAGCACAAGCATGTAGCCAAGTGGGAAGACTTGAGCATTATTCAAGAAATAGAGTCATTCTTTCATTTAACTAATTCCTGGACTACCACTATCTGCCAGGCACCGTGTTAGGTGCTGGACATGCAGTGGTAAATAGAAGGACACGATCCCTGTCTGTATTGGCACTCAGAGAATGGAAGGGGAGATGGCCACTCAGTCAATCATTTTTTAAATTACACTTGTGATAAATGCTAAGGAGGAGAAGCAAGGGGAGATGACAGCACAGTCCAGAGAGCCAGAGGCAAGGCTTGATGACAGGCTGCTGTCAGGAAGAAGTGAAGGACGGTGGCCTGATGCTTGGCTGGGGAACAGTGGCACCATAATGAGGAGGGAGGCTAGATTCCAGCCAGCATGGGGTGGCAGGATAATGAGCTCTGTTATACAGGTTGGGTTAAGATACCCCAATGGAGAAATGGCTTTGAGATACAGAAAAAGGAGTTGGCAAAGGAAGCCAAGGGAAGGGACAAGGTGACCAGGAGGAGAACGCAGAGTGACCAGAGCAGATACTGTAAAACACGGAGCTCAAAGACCATCCTTTGTGTAGCCATACATTTGCTATCCCCAGTCCTGGACCTGCCAACTCTTACACAGTAGCAAATATTAGTTTAATGAAAAAAATGTATCATGGGAAATCTTTGGACTGTAACTTGGGTACTAACAGATGATCAATTTAGATGCTACAGTTATATATCCTCCAAAAAGATAAAGGAAATTAAATTCAAATTAAGAAGGTTATGTACTATGTGGGGAACTTCAATCCCTCTGCCACAACATGCCCTCTGTTGGTCCCTAATTCCTAAAGTCAAGATACCAAGAATAAATTAATTATCTGTCTCTTCTGGATCTCTTAAACTTGTAAATAACCCAAGGAGGATGGGGATAGCAGGTTTACAAATTGAAAGGGTCACTGGAGAAACCATGCCCATTCTGGCTGTCACCACAGAAGACTCAATAGCAAGCCTGTTGTCTTCACACTGTACACACAGCAGTGCTGGCAGCCATCTCCAGTTAGGTAGCTGTTTGAGACAGTCTTCAAAGTACTGAAGATTCCACATCATCTTAGGTTTGGACACCAAGAAGCCCTTTTGGGCTGGAAGACTGGGACTCTCATACCCTTCTCTGGGCCATCATTTATGTTCAAGTGAGTGCTAGCTACCCCAGACCCAAACAGGGCCTTGTCACATTCTAAATGCTCCAAGGAAAAGATGCTGCTCAAATAGCCTCAGAAAAGTGTTTCGGCCTCTGGCCACATGAGAGAGGGGAATGTCTTCCCTGGGCTGCTCAGTCCGCCAGAGGAGAATAAAGAGCGTTTTCAGAACCTGGAGTTTTCCAGCTGCCTGGAAACAGGAAGTGCCCAATCCCAGAGAACAGTAACCCTCACACACACCCTACATAAAGACATGGTGAGCCATTAGCCCTAATTGCCTGTGACTGACACAGGAGTGAGGCTGACCTTACAGGCATTTGCTCAGCGGAAAGAAAACAAACAGTTCACTGGGGAAACAGGCGGCCATTTTCCCTCCTTTCTGCCAAAGTGATTCTGCTCTGTTCCCCCTAAATTATACCATACAGATTTGAAATTACAAACCAAACAAAGGTCTTTCGAGTATTCTGCACCACACACGAAAGAGAAATCTCTACAGGGAGTAGTTAAGACACAAGCAATTGGTTAGTAATCTTTTCACAAAATCTAAAACTTGACAAAGAGTTTTCAGAGCTGCCTCTCAAATCCCCCCCTTTCTCACCAGATTTAGGGTGTTACGAAGTATTTGCAAAATTTTCATTTGGTCAACACACTTTATAAAAAGACAGGAGTTAGGTAGCATACTGAATGTATGGGATAAAAATAGCATCTCTTCAGACTTTGGGTTTTAACAATTGGGTTTTCAAAAGTGGCTTTCAGAACAATACAGCACATTATACAAGAGACCTTACAGCCCTCCTTTCTCCTTTAAGAATTATAAGGTCTCAGGGCCAGGGATTTAGCTCAGTGGTTTCGCTACCTGCTGCGCAAGCGCAAGGACCCAAGTTCAATCCCCGGTACCAAAAAAAACCAGAATTATAAGGGCTCAGAGGACACACACTACGTCCAAGCCAATTTCAGCCAGATCACCAGTGACTGAGCAACATGGACACTGGTTTCTTCCATACCAAACAAGTGACGAGGATGGACACCAGGACTAGCCCTGACTACAATCTGCAGTTGCTGAGATAAGGCTTTGTTTCCCAGGTCAGAGGCAATCTTTTCCTTTATGATTCCTTGACAACCACTTCACAAACATCACTCACCAGGTATAATGTCCATCACTGGGCAAGTGCTTCATGTACCCATCTAGTTGAGTTCCTTATCTTCCTGGGGAGATGTGTATGCTTTTTACCTCCACCTTACCAAGCTGCAAGTCACTAGGACAAATGTCAGTCACATAGGTGGGGTGGAGACAGGGGTTCAACTCCAGATCTGTTTGATTCCCAAATCCCTCCTCTTAATCTCCACTTACTATATAGGCAACCTTGAACTTCCTTTCACTTTTGGGATCATCTTCTCATTCAAGGCTTTTACCATCAGATTTCATTTCAAACTAAAGGATGGCATGAAAACTAGGAGTCCAGGTTAACATCAGCCTCAGCTACAGGAATAACACACAGTAACATTCACCATTCCAAGGCCAAGTCCTCCATAGGCTGCTGAGATAAAATTCAGAGCCAGGCATGGTGCCACACGCCTGTAATCCCAGCACTTGGGAAGCTGAGGCAGGAGGATCATCGTGAGTTCAAGGCCAGCCTGAACTACATAGTGAGCTCGAGGCCAGCCTGAACTATACAGTGAGACTTTTTCTCAAAAAAAAAAAAAAAATAACAACAACAAAAAGATAAAATTCATTGGCTGAAGATGTAGCTCAGGAGTGCAGCACCTGCCTGAAAAGCTTGAGTCCCTCAGTTCTATTCCAGGTACCAAAAAAAGACAAAATTCAGGATAGAAAAGCTGTTTTCTAGACAGGATATATGTAAGTGGTGGTGAACCTTTTAGAGCTTTCAATGATACAAACAGCCCACAGCGGCACGTGTGCTATAGGTTTGCAAACACCCTCTCCCACAATTCAGGAAGGCAAAATGAGCTCCTTGTTCCACAGAAGCCTCTCTCTTTGAGTCAAGCTGTTCAAGTCATGCCACAAGGTAGCATTGATTCTGCCCATATGATTTAGAGGCTTTTTAAGATTTATGTAGAACAAGCAGTTCTCCACACCTCCCTTGTTTCTATACATGGCGGGCACCCCAGGGACTACTCGCCACTAGCTAATAAATAACCACGTTGTTTTGGACCTGCTGAAGGAGGCTCAGTCTCTCAGAGGAATGTGCTGCTGCAGGACAGAAGGCTACTCACCCGGCAGGCAAAGCATCGGGGGCCTGGGCAGCTGCAGGGAGCTGCTGTGTGCCCGAGGTGCTGGGCTCCTCTCCTTCAGCCGGTGTGGCCGGAGCGGGAAGAGATGTCGTGCTGAGGTTGGGGGTCACACTCAAGGCGGAAGCAGGTGGGGACATCACACCAACAACAGAAGGTTCTTCAGGATCAGTGGCTGCAGTGGATTCATCATTCACTGCAAATGCACAAACCATACTTTGAAGATCAACTACGAATAAGAATTTTGTTTACATTTATGAGGTTCGGTTTATGGGCTGACACATAAATAGGGTACACTGTTACCCTGTTATGTATCGGGCAACAGTAAAAATTTCGCAGAACATAACTTTGAAAATTACAGCAAGTCAATAATGCCTGTAATAAAGGAAACTGGGGAATGAATCTCAAATAGATATATTAAATAGAGGTAGCTCTTCTATAACTTTATATTAGAGTTTTCTACCATGCTATAGTTACATTTATTAATTTTAAAAGCATAAAGATGAGGACAAAAGGGAAGCGTGGTGGTAAATGGAGCAAGACCAATGCCAGGTTTGCAGGGTCACATTTTTTCTTTAAATTTGCCATCTGTCTGCTAGACACAAGTAACATCTTCCTTCAAAAAACTTCACACACACTAGAGGCAGAAAACTTCCAATAATGTGCTTGTTCTTTTAAAGATTCATGCTCAAACGAAGAAGTAGGTATTTAAGCTCTAGATGAAAAAGGAGGGACCCGAAAACTAAGGACTCATCTCCAAGGTAACAACAGACAAAGAAACAGTGAAATAAGCTAGCTAGTCTCCTATTTCCCAAGTCTTATTTCACCATTTCTTTACATTTTTGATGATCACTTATGCCCACAAGGCTCTGCAATGTCCTCTAACTCTAAAAATGATCAAACAAGGTTTCAAAGACTTGTAATTCTTTGAAAATGGATGAGCCATATGCAGAATTTTTTACATATGTGATTGCATATGTGTATATTTATATTTGAATTTCATCCAAAAACACAGTAGTCAGCATTTAGCAACCACTTCCTAATTCAAAAATCCATTTTGTAGTTTTCCTAACAAACAGATACCCAAATTTTTTCTCCAACATTTCTTCTGGCAGGGCACTCACTACAGTCCATTGCTGAGCAGATGGACTTGCAAGAAAGTTTTTTCTTATGTTAAGAAGAATTCCACAAGGTAGTCTGAGTCCCCCAGCCCCAAAGCGATGCAAAAGAAGTATTGGTGTACTTTCTGTTTCTCATTAGTCTTCTCTTTTCCAGTAAGAAGGCCTACTATTTCTTCAATGTTTCTGGGCCACTTCTCTTAGATAACTACTTCTACCACTTTTCTGAAATAACGAAATCAGAAATGGAACATAGGAAATTAGATGCCATCAGATCAGCAGACTCAGATTACCAATTTTAGGGGCTGGGGATTTAGCACAGTGGTGCCTCACCTGCCTCACAAGCACAAGGTCTGAGTTCAATCCCTCCTATGGGGGCAGGGATTACCAATTTAAATGAGACTAGTTAATATTTACAGAACAGTGGTGGGTGTGCCTAGTAAGATCCAAAGCACTTTCTTTCAATTGTCTCTTTTAAGGCTTCACAAGCAACTCTACAAGTTAGGTACTATGGATTGGTCCTGGTTTACACTGAGGAAATAAAAAATCAGAGGTTAAATAGCCTGCTGAGGTCACAGTGCATCCAATCCACATCCTGATTTCTGCCTCTAGGGCCTGAATCACTCACTCCCCGATACTTCTTTTCATACATCCTCGAATGCGACACAAGATGAGGACACTTCTGAGCAACCACTGGATCTTATGGGCTAACCTGAGACTGGTGGAGAGCTGCCACTCAAAGGTCTTCAAATGATGTGGCCCCAGCTTGATGCTAACGAATGCCTAAGAGCTGGAGGCTGGGAAGTGCCCTGATAGATTGACTTGGTTTCTCCCTGGTATAAATGCTGCCTGGCACATAGGCTAAATTAATTGTGTAATGGATGGCTAAATCTTGTGCAAAAATGTTTCCCCAACATAAATGCAAGACTTTATATTTGTATTCCTTATTCTAACTCAGCCAAACTAGGAACACACAACAGATGGTCATTCTCTTTATGCAAATCTATAAATTTTACTCAATTCCAATTTTATACAAAAATTATATCATGACTTTTTTCAAAGCCAGATAAATTCATTCTAAAATTTATAAGGAAAGCTAAATATGGAAGAATAACCATGAAAAGCCTAAAGTTATGGGAGACAGGCGTTTGCTAAAGTGTTAAAACATACTATAAAGCTACAATTAAAACAGCACAGTATCAGTGCATGAATAGGCAAATGTCAGTTAAATAAATAAGAAATCTCAGAACTAGATTTAAATAATTAATTCATTGGAACTTGCAAAATAATGATATTCTAATTCTATTGTCCCATTTTCATATGTTTGTTGGACTACTTCTATGTAAGGAAATGTCTTTTATTTACTATTTGGCTACCCTGAGGTTCAGATTGTGAAGGAATGGCCAAGAGAAATGCTTGATTCTTCTCCCTTATTAGATTTCAGAATAATGAGTTGATTTCCTGGCATTATCTAAAAATAAAGTTTTGTTTGAAAGTATTAAGTATTAGATTTAAACATATTTAAGGTATTTCTACTATGGTGTTCTTATAGATACTAAAATTGTCCCCATTTTTGGTAGGATTAGTAGGAGAACATCAGGGAAAAAAACCTCTTAGTTAACTTTAAATTCTACTGAAAAACTGCAAATTATCTATGAAGTGGGAATGTGCCAAACACTGGACATATTATCTTATCGTTTGTGTGAGAATGTGTGTATGTGCACACACATTTATTTATGTATATGCTTGTATGGTCAAAGAATATCTTTGCAAGAATAACAAGAAACACAATAATAACAGTTGCCAGTAGGGAGAAAACTAGAGATTGGATAAATAGTAAAAAGGCATTCTTTATGCTGTTTTTAAAGCTTTCATAATATATATGTACTATTATTAAAAATAATTATTATGAAGTTGTTGACTGGAAAAAGAACCAAAGCAGAGCCCCAGAGCATGCCAGTGGAGAAGCACCGCCAAATGACACTCTTGGGAACCGACTGCTCGCACAGCTGCCAATCTAGTTAAAGGGCTCCTAACAGGACCACATCTGTCCCTGGGCTCATGCATGGGCCTGTGATTTATCAGGGAAGCTCATCTGGGTAAGAGTTCTGTGCCATACTTTATGAGTTCAGATTTGGAAACTGTTGTGGCTTGTTTCCACCTGTCCCCACAAAGCCTCATACAGTCATAGATGGTGCTTTTCAGAGGTACAGAATCCAGAGTGTGTGACACTGGTATTAAGGGTGTGTGATTACTAAATTAGTCCTGCCCTAATAGCAAGTAGTCTAGATACAATATAAAGAGACAGAATCTGTTGCTTGTAGCTTGCTGCTTATTGCCTTTCTGCCTTCTGCCTGCCATGACCTTTTTCTCCTGCGCAATGCCCCTCTGCCATGCCACCTTGCCTTGGAGCCAGCCAATTATGAACTGAAAACTCTATAAATTGTGAGTTAAATAAACCCTTCCTCCTTTAACTTCAGGTGTCAGGTATTTTGTCTCAGCAATGAGAAAAGTAACTAAGACAATTTGGTACCGAGTGGTACCCTCTCAGGGGTATACTCCCTGGCCTCCTAGGCCTTCTGAAATCCAGGTGGAAGCCTTTCTGACCCCATGACTCTTGCACTCTGCATGTACCTAAACCCACTACCACATGGATGATGCCAAGGTCCACCACCAGCTGGAGCAGTAGCCAGACTTCCTTCTCTTTTGGGTGTAGGGGCTGAGTGCCTATGAACCAAATCCTGAGGAACAACTTCCATAGGCTGCTGCCATTCTAGAACATGGTGCTCTGGGGGATCTCTTCTCAAAACAAAGTCTCCTTTTTGCAATTTTGAGGCTGCAAACAGTGGAATACTACTGGTTCTTGTGATATCTTCAGGCCATCTTTTCTATTGTCCTCTTCTGAAATACTTGACTTTTTCTTGCTAGTCTTTTCAGCATCTAATTTCTCCTCTGTTCCATCTTTGTAGGCCGCAATTTTATTAGAGCTTCCTTTCTGGTCAAACTCAATAGTTTTAAATCATTCTGCTAGGCTCTTTACTCTTGAGTCTCAACATAGATCTGGCTAAAAGTACCCAACAGTAGCCATGCCACCACCTCAACATTAGACTGCCTTGAAATTTCTTCTGCCAGGTTAATTAGTCCACTGTCCTTAATCTCAGGCTCAGGCAAAATGGACATGAGCAAAATGCAGACAAATTTTCTGTCAAGACATAGTACACATTGTCTGGAGTCCAACAACCAATGTAGTCCTTCCCAGCAGAAAGCTCCTGAGCCTGGTCTTTACCAGCGGCATTTCTATCAGTATTCTGGTCTTCTGAGCTCTGACCAGAATCTCCCATCAAGTACAGCTTTAAGGAATTCCAGGGCTGCTTCTTCAGCTGGCCTCTCCAAACCTCTCTGAACTTTTCCCACAAGCCAGTTCCAAAGTCTCCTGAACCACATGGTCAAGGACAGTCACAGCAATGACCCTACTTCTCTGGTACCAAATTCTGCCTTGGTTACTTTTCTTGTTGCTGAGACAAAATACCCAACACACCCAAAGTTAAAGGAGAAAGGGTTTATTTTGGCTCACAGACTGTAGAGGTTTCAACTCATAAGTGGCTGGCTCCAAAGCAGGATGGCATGGCAGAGGGGCATTGCAGAAGAGAAACAATCCATGGTAAGGCAGGGCAGCAAAAAACAAGCAGCAGTAGCAAAAAGCAACACGTGACAAGTGACCATAGCAGCCCTTTCTATCCTTTATATTCTTATCCAAGTTACCTGCCCTTCGGGTGAGTAGTACTCAAACACTCTTAATTCTAGCATCACAGACTCCAGATTCAGTCACCTTCAAAAAGCCCCACCTATGACTGCATGAGGTTTTGGGGGTCACCTAGATAAAAGCTACAAAAGAAACAGAGAAATATGAAACCCAAATATTGAGCCTCCTATGTCCATACTGAAAACCTTCTGCTCTCAGAGTGTGTGTGTGTGTGTGTGTGTGTGTGTGTGTGTGTGTGTGTGTCTGTATGTATGTACAGCCATGCACTACATAATGACGTTCTGGACAAAGGCAGATTACATATATGATGGTGGC